AAGGAAGAACGGCGCCCAAGCACTGTAGAGGGGCGGGACAATGAAAGTAGGAGGCGGGGCCCAGGAAGGCTTGGAGCCAATCAGGACAAGGCCCCAGGTAACTTCAGGGCCAGAGCATAGAGGAGGCGGGATTCTGAAGGAATCTGGAGTTTGGGATGAGTTATATTCAGGTGGGCTGGGGAGGCTTTGAGAAAGTGGTCTTGTTGGGGGCCTGGAGCTGTATGAGGCGCCAGGGCAATGGGATGTCGGGCAATGGGATGTCAGGGGCGCGACCTGGAGGGGCGAGGCCATGGGGGCGGGGCTGTGGTGACTGTCTGCGGGGGACTTAGAGGGGTTGGGCCTTTGGGGCTGAGTGGTAGGGGCCTGCCTCACCCTCTGCGCTCCCCCTGCTGCGCTGCCTGCAGAGATGTTCACCTCGTAGCGGATAAGGCTAGCCATAGGGGCCCCAGGCGGTGGGAGCCAGCGCAGTACCACGTGGCCGCCCTTGTCCGCCCGCCGTGCTTCCAGCTCTGCTGGGGGGTCCAGGAGCACTGCGGAGAAGAGTTGCTTAGGTGGGCGCAGATCGAGAACACCTCCCAACCACACCCCCATTCCTGGCTAACTTACCCACTTCGTTGATCTGGATGACACGGCGGTAGCGTGGAGCTCCCGAGGAGGCTGCTGTTACGCGCAGCTCCAGGGACACGAAGCTCGATGTGTCGTCCGTAGGCAACGAGCACCAGAAGCGCACAGCTCCACGGCCTGCGGCCGCCTGGTGCAGGCGGCACGGCTTCCACTGCTCACCTCTGTGAGCGGAAGAACCAGGGAGCGAAGGGAGCAAATTAGGAGGTATTACCCGGACTGTGGGAGCATTTTGGATACTAACACGAGGGGGCGTCCCAGCCCTGACGTACGCGACGCCTTAGACCTGATTTGGAGGGGTGTTGTCCCAGCCCCGATGTTTGGGGTCGCGCTTCAGCGGTGATTGCCAGAGTGTTCCGGCCCTGGCCACTAGGGGACATGACAGCCCTGACTCCTCGGGCTTCCCACCAGTGACCAGCAGAGGTGGTGCCATGCGGCCCCAGCCGCCGCCTGCCCGCCCACCCCCTCCACCCGTGGGGGCGCTCCGCCTGCGGGGTCGGACTCACTCGAGCTGGTAGGAGAAACTGTAGTTGTCGGGGCCGATCCCGGCGCTTGCTGCTTCCTCCCAGAAACATACCAAGTCCTCCAACCGCTCGGTGAAGCACAGAAGCTCTTCGGGCACGCGGGCCGCCAGCAGGGCCGCTGGGGAATTTGGGGGGAGCAAGGGGAGAGGTTGGGGGCCAAGGCCTGTCCTTGAACCACAGTGTCTTCCCCCTCTTTCTCGCCGCCTGTACGGACCGATAAGACAGAAGCCCCACCCCGCTCTCTACCCAAGCGGGGCCCCTCTAGGCGTACGCAAAGGTGGTGTCCCCCAACTCCCATGCGCAGGTTGCTGGACTTACTGTCGCCCCCACACACACCCGCCCACCAGGCGACCAGCCGAACTGCGCGCAATACTCAAGACCTCTGCCTCCTGCTGCCTGGCCGCCCAGGCACAAGACTAGCGAGCCCGTGGGTGTGTGTGGAGGAGGCGGGGCCCCCTATCGGCCCCGGCAGGCTCCCTGCTGCCCGATAGCGCCAACCGTGCCCCCAGCACCCCTCCCTCAACCCGGCGGGGCAAAGGATCTGGTGCCCGCACTCAAACCGTGTTTACAGTCGCCTGAGGCACTGCCCCTAACTCGGACCCCGGCTTTTTCCTCACTCTCCCACTGGAGGGTCCGCTAGGTCCCCTCCTCTCAGGGACTCTAGGCTGCAGAGCCCAGACTCAGTACCACCCCTGCCTGCATTAGAATAGTATGTCCCAGGCTCCCTGAAAATATAAAACAGGAACCTTACGTCCTTCTCCAGCTTCTCCCCCAGAACCCAGTCTGGAGACTTAGACCCCGGCACGCCCCGCCAGGAGCAACTCTAGGGATTCAGACACCAGCTTGGCCCCCAGGACCCAGGCTGGAAGTTCAGGCCCCAGCATAGCCCTTCAAGACCCAGTGCAGGGGTCCACACAAAGCTCCATCCTCACCTTTGCTTTCGAACTTGGGACTCAGGGGGTTGGGTGGAGGAGCCCAGGCGACTCCAGCAAGCAGGAGACACAGGGAGCCGACTCCAGGCCACAGGGGCGCCCTGAGGTGATCCATGATGCAGCCCCCGCCACCGGGGGCCCAGAGCTCCTGCCCCTCCCCTTCCTCCACCTTTGGCACAGTCCGCAGTTGGGTCAGCAGCTGCCTCCTCCGGACACAGCTGACCAGGCCTTTCCCGGCAAGGCGCCTCCAAGTGGCAGCTCCCCCGAGGGGGCGGGACCAGCGGGCTGCCTGGGTTGAGATAAGCAGGAGGCATCGGCTCTGCTCGGCCCCGCGGGAGGGGCAGGGGCCTTGCTGGCCCCACTGCCGCTTGCAGGGCGGGAACAGCTGGGGTTTCTGCGTCAGACACACTTTCCGTGTGACCCTGGACAGGTGACCTACCTTATCTGAGCTTCAGCCTTCTCATCTGTAAAATTTGGCTTGGCTTATAGCAAACATTCCAAAAATGTAAGCTACTGATATTATCGTGCTAATCAACATCTTCTCCCAGTCTGGGTAGGAATAAATAATAATTGTAACAGTGACTAGTTGTTGAGTACCCAATGCTAGACAGTGTTGCCAGACAGTATGTACGACATGATCCCGTACTTGTAAAATTACATTTAGTCTGGAGTGTGAGATTTTATTTGTAATTTTTTTGGAAAAAAATGTCTGTTTACAAGGAGTGTGCAGTTACTTTTAATAATCTGGAAAGTAATTATAGAACAAACCATAAAAACTATTTGCATGGGCTGAGTTTAAACTGGAGTAAACAGCCAACAGAGGTACATTCCTGGAGTAAGGGGGTAACTACCTCCCGCTTCTGACCACCCTATGGAGCACAGTGATTGGTTCAGATTGGGTATGTGATCCAAATGCAACCAGTGAGCTTCCATCCTGGGATTTTACCTGGAATTACTGGGAAAGATTGTGTCACTTTCTATAGGGCTGTTAACACGGTGGGCGGAGGGAGTAGCCAAGAATATCTTTGCCATTAGGAGGGAAGAAATTGCTTGATAATGACGCTAACATGGGTTTTTGCACCGTCTATTCCCTCCGTGTGGAAGGTTCTTCCTCTAAATTTCAGGGGTCACCTCATTTTATTCAAGCCTCTACCCAAATATCACCTCCTCAATGAAACTCTCCCTGAGCACCCCACTTAAAATAGTAACCCTTCCATCTCACCCTCCCCATAATCCTTAAAGTGGCTGCTGCCCCTTCTTCTCCTTCTATTATTATTAGTAGTAGTAGTATTAGTAGTAGTATATTGTTATTATTATTTGGCATAGCCCATGGTTAATATCTCCTAAAATGTATTCGATGTTTTGTTTTTGATTCACTGCCCCCACTAGTCTGTTTTGTTCATTTCTGTATTTCTAGCACCTAGAGCAGGGACTAGCACACAGGAGTTCAAGAAATATTTGTAGAGGAAAAATTAGAGATAAACCCAGCTAAGAGATGCAAAGAAACAGTTGATCTTGTATTAGACCTTGGATACAGCTATGCCGGAGTATCCCCGCACTTTAAAAAAACAAGTGACTCAGTGAGAATATCTTCCTCAGGAAATTGGCACTTGGACTGTGTGTGAGAAGAGAGGGAGACAGAAACTGTAAACTGTAATTTTAAGAGGCAAACTAGCCCAATGTTTAAGTGTACATGTTCTGGTACCTCGTAGGTTATTCAGTTTTGCGCCCCGGCCTTATCACTTACCACGCCACCTTGGATAAGTTACTTTATCCTTCCTCGTCTCAGTTTTTCGTATATAAAATGGGCAAAATAATAGTGCCTACTCTTAGGCCTATTATGAGGATTAAATTACATAATGTTAAATTCTTAGAACAGTGCCTGGCATATAATAAGGACTCGGTAAGGACAGCAATTATTTTATTTTTATTGAGATACAATTCACATATTGCATCATACAGCAATTATTTGCTTTAGCTAGTTCAAGGATATTGTTACTCACATCCAATTGGTCCCAAGGTTTTCATACTCATGGCAACCCCTCCTCAACCAAAGCCTTTAAAGTAGCATATTGTATACTGTAATCTGTCTTCCACCAGACTCTACACGATGCTTAGATTCTTCTATCTCCTCTCCCACCTGAGATGGCCTGCACATTCCCCGTTATTGCTCCAAAAACAATGTTTAGAACCCTAGGGATTGTTTTTTGCTCATTCACCAGAATTCTTCCTTCTAATAAAAGAACCCAAATGTTATTTCCTTTTCTGTGCACTCCCAGACTTCACTCCTGTGACTTGAAGTTTCTCTGTCAGCTCAAAGGATGGTTAATTAAGCCTGGCTAATCAGCATATTACATTCCTCTGAACAGTGATTGGTTCGGGGGTGGCCACATGACATGAGTTGGTCCAGTGGGCATCTGCTGTGGGACTTTTGCTGGAGCTTATGGGAAAAAAGGGTTATCCTTGCATGTTAGGGATGGAGCTGGTGGGATGTAAACCTGGCATGTTCCCAGGAGGTGTGAGCCTGACTTGGAGTGGGGCTACCTTACTTTAAAAGTTCTTTTGGCTTCTGTAACGGAGATCCAAATAATAGTGGCTTAAGTACAAAAGACATTTATTTCTCTCTTATGTAACAATCCAAGTAGCAGCAATATAATATGGCAGCTTCCTGGTATCAGAGAGCCACGCTCCTTCCAGTTTGTTTTTCAGTTATTTAGAAGATGTGAACCACCTCATCCAACTTGACCCACTCTGTTTTCATCCTAAACAGCAGGAGGCAGAAAAGGAAGGGGGAAGACTACCCCTTGTCTTTAAGGGTAGGACCTAGCATTTACCCATACCCTTTCCCTTTACATCTCATTGGCCAGGACTTAGTTTCATGACCACATTTTGTTGTAAGGGAGCCTAGAAATGCTAGTTTTCACTCTGGGTGGCCAAATAAAAATCCTTGGCTCTGTTACCATTGGAGAAGGTGACTGGATTTGGGGGGTGGGGAGAAAATGGACAGTTTCATTCTTATAGCAAATTAGAGCCCAGAGACAGCAATGAAATCCTGCTGATATCTTTTGAGTCCCTAGATCCAACTGTGCCTGAATGTGGCCCCATTCAACTTTTCAATTACATGAGCCATTAATTTCCTTTTTTGCCAATGCCTGTTTGAACCACTTGAAACAAAAAGAATCCTGATTAATATAATAAGATATAAAGCTCTTGTTTAGTGTCCGGACAGAGTGTAGTGAATAAGTGGGCATATTATTGTTGTTGTTGTTGTGATTCCGTTGCTGGTGGACCTACCGCTCATTTCATTGCTGCCTTCTGTTTCTTCTTATTCCAGTGCTGATAGACAACTCGCACTCCCCTTCTATCCTCACAGCTATTATTGACTCATGGGTGATGATGTTATTTGTCTCTGATTCCAATGGAATTTCATTTCTTAATCTCCCATATACACAGCAGAAAAGAAGCATATTGCTCTAAAAATATTATGTGTATGTGTGACAGAACCATACTCCACCCTACTCCCCAGCATCTAGTCATGCTTCACCCAACCCCTTTCCTAGGGGTCTTAATTTTTTTCTTTTCTTTTACATTTTTTATCTGGATGGAGAGTGAACATGCACAGGCGCAGAACAAACAAGACTGGTTCCTGTTTCATAACTTTGGTCATTATTTTCATCCACTTCTGTCAGTTCTGATGTATCTCCAAGAGTTACAAGATTTCTCTGGGGAAGGGTCTGATTCCCAGTATGTGATGGAGCTCTCCACCAGCCATTCTGTGGGCTGATGACTTTGGAATAAGGATCCAGTGCCAAGAGCACTGGAGGGATGGAGCCCAATAAAGTTGGGGAGGGGTCACAGAGTACAGAGCACAATGGGCTCTACTGGGAGAGAAGCACCCTCCCCACCCTCATGGTGATAGAAGCTGCCCATGGGACCTGTGTCTTGGAGGCAGGAGAGGGCCACCTCAGGTCAGGGAGACTGAGGTTGTGCGCCGGGCCCATCCTTCCGCCGCAGCATGAAGTCTCCAGGGCCAGCTGGGCTCATGGCATAGAAGACGTTGGCATTGTCAGGAATCAGGAGCTCTGGCCAGGTGTGGACATAATGATGAAATGCCCATGCAACCTCATACCTCCCCCATAAGGGACCTAGGTAACCTTCTGCTTCTCACCCTGGCCTGAACAACCTTGGGTCACTTCAGTCAGTGCTAAGCCAACCTCGTTCTCCTCTCATTGGGAACCTGGACAATTTCTCACTTGAAGTCACACAACCTCATGTCTCCTCCCCATCAACAAACCTAGGCAGACTCCTGCCATTTCCCCTAGAGTCTAGATAATCTACACCACAAGTTTGGGTAAACTCAGGCCACCCATCTCAAACAACTTCCACATTCAATTCCCAGCCAAGTTCATGCTGATCTCGCCATGAATTTGGACAACTTCTGACTTCTCACTTCCAGCCTGCATAACCTGTGGCCCTCACACCTGACACACGAACAACCTCATATAATCCTTTTTAGTGTCCAGCCAACTTCATATGTCCTTTAACATATCAACTCTTGCCTCTCCCTTACAAAAACTGAATGAACAACTTCATGCTCCTCTATCCCAAATTTCAATACCCTGTGGCTTTCTCTTATGCCAAGATCAGATAATTTCAGAGCTGAGCCTGAAAACAAACTAATTTCCCCTCAAAATAAAACCCAGACCTTTTTCAGTCTCATACGTCACCGGGTCAAGCCTGAACAACCTCATGATCCTATACCTTTAAGCCAAGAAGACTTCTTATACTCCCTTTCCTGTCTGATCCTGGACAATCTCATTTCCCCATAAATCCTAGGAAGACATCTTTGGTGCTCCCTTGTCTCACACTGAGCCAGGATAACCACACAACTCACATAATCAAGGCACAAATATTTGACTGCCTCTTACTCCCACCCTGCTCCATCTTATTCCTACTCTGTGCCTGTATCTTTAGGGCCATCCTTGACCCTGGTCAGTCTGCCACCCTCTCAGCTGGGCCCCAGCCCAGATTCCAAGCTGTCCCTGCTCACCCCGGTCCCCAGGAAGGACTTGAAAGAGCTGGTAGTCATGGGCCCAGGGCTGGGCCACATTGTGCTTCTGCAAGGCTCTCTGGACCACGCTGGGGGCCTTGTCCTGACTAGTGAGCTGGGAAGAGAAGGTGTCAGGTGAGGTATGACAGCCTGAGCTCCAAAAGCAGGGCTGTCCCCAGTAGGTCCCCAGTCCAGCCCCTCACCAGGATGCTCCGATACAGGTTCCCGTGGTCATTGTCGATGCTGACTCGGATGACCCGGGCCTCTGAGCCCTGCTGCCCACCAAGGGGGATGCGAGGGCAGTTCAGGGTCAAGGCCAGGGGCAGCTGTAGGCAACGGGGGTCAGGGTCTGAGTGCTGGGAGAGTACTAGTCCCCTCCCTCATTGATGTATTCAATGCATGCCCATATACACTTGAAGCCTAAGGACACACAATGAAGGTACACACATAAGCCCGTATTTGTGCAATCCCATCACCTATGGCTCTTCATTCCTTGTTACACAAATTTACACATGATTGGTAAACACACAAACCCATGTTCATAGGCAAGAAATCCTGTGTACGCAGAACAGTGAGTACACGCATATGCTCACAATTGTTGTACGTACACAAGTCCATGTCCCTGAACAGCCCTGTACATGGTCCCGTGGATATTGTGGCTATTCATGCCCACATTTCCCCTTTACGTATGCAAATATCTGGGGGCACACACGTTCTTACAAAAGTGTGTGATTGCACACCGGAGAGCCCTGTGGGTGAGCGAATGCACTGGTCCAGGTCTGAGCACAAGCCAGAGAGGACAATTCCTGTCGGGGCCATGAAGATGCACATGGTCCCTTGGAGAGATATCCTGAGTGCTGAGCCAAGCATGTGTACAATCTCCCATGTACACAACTGGCCTCCAAATTCTGTGTACACACACATACATCTCTGGGTGCCCAGTCTCACATACACACAGAGGCAGGCCTGGTACCTTGGTGCTGGGGCCCTGAGGCCCTGGAGAGGCTGGGGGACTTCCTGGAGAAGGGTCCCTGGTTCTAGGACTGGGTGGTGGGGAAGCTGGGGAAAGACTGGGCAAAATGCAGAGACTGAGGTGGGGTGGCTGCCCTGACCTCTGACTTTGCCATCTCCAGTCCCTTCATTGAGTGGGATGCTCACCTGGAGGTGGGTGATGGAGGGTCCCCAGGACTTGCACCAGAGGATGGGCCTCTCTCTCGGGACAGCTTCCTGAGGATGGGGACAGGGGATTAGGCTGAAGGCAGACTCAGTTCCAGGAGCAGCCCCCTCATCTCTGCCCATATCACCCCCCCACGTGCACACCCCAAGACTCACGCACTAAGACGCTTGGTGAGGCTAATTCGTCGTCGCACATGTGGGGAGCTGGGACAGGAGGTGGCTGGTGGCTCAATGACACGGGAGACACGATAGCTGTGGGGTCATGGTACAGATAGAGGGTGTTGGGAGACAAGAGTTAGAATCAGTTGGGAGCTGGGTTTTGGGCACTGTGGGGAAAAGTCAGGTGTTGGGCACCAAATGTCAGGGTCAGGGTAGTAAATGGGGTCGCACAGCATTAGAGTCTTATTAGAGATGAGACGGGATGGCTTTGTTGGTGGGTCACACAGGAATTCACAGAGTGAGACTGAGGAGTCACATTGGATCAAGGATAGAGTTCAAGGTCAGGTAATCATTGGGGTCAATGGTTAAGGTCATGAATTTAATAGAATGAAAGAGAACGATTGGGATAGTTGAATTAGAAGGTCAAATATACATCAAAGTCAGAGTCAGTTACTCAAAACTGAGACTCAATGATTGGGCTCAGAGAGTCAAATAGGGGTCATGAATGGGGTCATAGGTCAGACACGGTCAGAGGTGGGAAGAAAATAGATGGGATGGCTGTATTGAATAGCCAGCTGCATGTTGAAGTCAGAGGTTGAAGTCAGAAAGTCAGATGGGGTCAAAGTTTGAAGTCGGAGGTCATTTGGGGCCCTCAATTGGGCTGGAGATAATGCAAGGTCACAGGTTGGGAGTCCGGGCTCAGGAGAAGGATCTTAGGAAGATTTGGAGAGGTACACAGGATGTAATCCAGGGTCAGCTGGAGTGGGGATGGGCCAGGCCACAGGGTGGTCACCTCTGCTCCTCGCTGAGTTGGTGCTGGGCACGCAGGGCAGCTAGGATGGGTGGGCGGGCGCTCAGGCAGTAGTTACGACAGCGCCTCTGCAGCTGCTGGATGCGGGCCAGGATCTCCCACTCCTGAGGGGGCAGCTTCTGAAACCCTGCCCTGCTCCACCCTGGTCCCCGCCTCCACACACACTCACCCTAGTCCCCACTCACCTTCCTCCTCTTCTCAAAGTTGATAAGATCCCCCTGGGGGAAAACTTTGTTTGAACTGGAGTATCCGGGGTCAAGCATGAAGGGTCAGGGTCAGGGATTGGGATGTCAGGAGTCCCACTGCACTAAGGGGTCTAGGGTCAGGAGTGTAGGCAAGGTCAAGGATGGGATGTCAGGAGGCCCACTGTTCTGAGGACAAGTGGTACTGGGGTCAGGAGTCAAGGGTCAGGAGTCAGACCTCTAGCATGTCCGGCAGGGCTGTGTCCAGCATAACCAGGTCCGTGAGAAAGGTACCAAGGTAGGGGACTGGGCCTGGGGGCAGCTTCTGTGGTTCCCAGAGCTCCAGTCACTTTCAGCTATCACCAACCCCATCACACTCCATCCCCTCCCTGAGGGTCCCGGTTGTCCCCCATCTCAAACCACATCGCTCACTGAAGTCAGGCTTCCTGGGGGTGCGTCCTCCTCTTGGAGTCCATCGGTGGCTTCCTCCTGGGAGAAGGGAACGACTGAGCAGTTCCAGGGGCTCTGTGACCCCTTCTTCGGGGAAGCTGCCTCAGTATACACCCATTTTGCTTTCAACAATCACAAACCAGTGCAAAGGCCATACTCAGGGGAAAGGGAACAGAGGAAGGGAGAGAGCAGATAAACAGCGAGGGGCAGGCCCCACTGGGGATGACCAGAGGTGGAGCTTGTGGATGCCATGGCCCCCAGGGCCGTGAGAATCCCCGGCCCAGGCCTAAATGGAACAGGCCCCAAGGCAACCCCCTGGGAATGCCCTGAACCTTGCCTTCACGGTATTGCTCTGCCTGGTAATTAATTATATCATTGCTGAGTCAGTTATTATTGTGCTGTGTGTTTCCCCAGCCTGGGGCTTGAATCCCACCAGGGCAGGAACTGTGTCTGTCTGGTTCATGGCAGAGCCTCCTGGCATAGTGCCTGGTACACAACAGGTGCTTAATGCAGAGCTCCTTGTTTCCTGAGATCATCTTTATGTGAGATATTCATTCACTCACAGATATTGAGTGCCTACTCTGGGCCAGGCACTGTTCTGATTGCTGGGGAGGCAGCAGTGAGCAAAAGAGACAGAAACTCTGGCCTCGTGGAACAGACGTTAGCAAGGGAGAAGAGCAACAACCAAACTAAATATGTAATTAAGGACCTGTAGAGATCAGGACAATAAAAGGGAAGGAGGTGAAAATGCTGGGGGGCACAGGAAAGGCTTTTCTGAGGGAGACATTGGGTAGAGACCTGCATGAGGTTAATGTGAAGAACTTCTATCTATTCTGGACTCACCCTAAGTACCAGCACCCAATTGCAATTAGAACCTCAGTCTGACCTTGCTGGCACACATTTTTTAGTTTTGCTTATCAAAGTCAAGTCCCTGGCACAATTTTTTTTTTTTTCACTCTTTGCTATGACTCTAGCCTGAAGTGACCTGTCCCTGTGACTTCTGGTATTTGTTGAATGAATAAATAAGGCAGTTACCAGAGTGTGAGCTATCATGAGGGCAGCAGAGGCAGTAAATACGTGGGGCTGCCTACGTACAAGGGCAAGGTCATTCCTGAGGCGTAGGGAACAGGTCGCTGAATGTTAAGACAAGGACGACTGATGCCTTGCCCCGCCCCTGTTCCCCTCCCCCCGACTCTGTACCTGGGAAAGAATCTCCCTGCTGCTGAGATGGTTGTTCTCATCTGAGAAAATCTGCGAAAGTTTCCTGAAAGTGGATAACGGTTCCCTGGGGGGTAGAGACAGGGGTCAAAGGTCGGTGGCTGAGAGAGTCAGAGTTGCGTTGGGGTAGGGAGGAAATCTCGCCCTGGCGCACCCCACACATTCTTGCTCACCTGCTCACAGCCGCCCAGCTGCTCTTGAGCCGATATATAGGGTTAGACTGCAGGGCGGACAGGATGGCGCGCAGGGAGGAGAAGTTTCGCAGTTCCCTGCAGCGCTGCGGGGCGGGGCGGGGGCAACCGTCAGACCCCAAGCCTGATCCCAGGGTATGAGCCGCTTTTGATCTCCTGACTTCTAACCTAGGTAGGACCCCTACGATTCGCCCCACATCTGACGTGCTATCAAGACTCAGTCTCCTCCTCCAGGGGCCCCTCCCCTTCCCCACCTGGAGACCCATCCCCTCCTTCTGAGCTTGGCTTCTCGAGCTCCTATTCTTACTCCTCCCTGGGCCCTAGATGCGCCCACACATGTCTCCTGGACCCAGAACCCTCTTCTCTGAACCCAAGTCACATGCCAGGTTCAACCTTCTACCCCTTCCCCTCCTTCTTCTTGCCACACTCCACTCTCTCTCCTGGGCCCCCATTTCTTTCTCTTCCTCACTGCCCCCGAGGCACTTGCCCCGCGCCCACTCAGTCTCTTTTGGGACCACCGCCTCCTTCGCTAGCCTTTGGTCCCTCCTCTAATCCTATTCCCACCCCATCACCCCCCATCCCATCCTCTTATCGCTAGACCCGCCCAGCGTCCTTCCCAGTCATCGCTCCCGGCCTGGCACAGCCAAGCCCCCTCCTAGGCTTTTCTCTGCCTTCGTCGCCCCCTTCCTCTCTTTGGACCTCAGTCCTGCCTCCATGCCTCGCCCCCGCGTAACCTCGGCAACACGCACCTGGGCGATGCGGATCCACTTCTCCAGTCGCTGCGCCCTCTGTGGGGCAGCCAGGCCTGGCGCCCCGAGCACCGAGCCCAGCACACAGCCGGTCACTGTGTTGAACTGGGTCACAGTGGCGCGCACAGTGGGGCAGATGCCTGCAGCCCCTGGCCGGTCCCGCTGCGACCACACGGAGCCCAGGCACTCGCAGGGCCGCACTCGCGAAAAGAGCTCCTGAGAGGAGGGGGATGGTGGTGGTGGGTGGGTAGGGTCTGTGTTCAGCGGGATCTGTCCTCCTCCCCACCTCCTGCGTCCCTCCCGCGTCCTCACCACGTCCATCAGCGTCAACTGCTCGGCCACCTCATCCACACCGAAGTCCAGGAGCTCAGGGCCTTCCTGCACCAGTCCTTCCTCCTCTTCCAAGCAGCCTTCCAGGGAGTCGGGGCTGGAGGTCTGGGCAGTTCCAGGAGGTCCTGAGGGAACATTAAAGGGAATTAAAAACTCTCAAAGGTGAATCCAGGACTGGCTGTGTGACCTTAGGCAAGTCCTTGGAGTTTCATTGTCCTCATTTGTTCAAGGGAGACCTCCTTGAATGTTTTTAAGGACTTCAGAGCAACAGTAACTTTCACGGAGCACTTAGCCTGGATTAACTCGGTAATTTAGCACACTTACTAGTGAGCCAGGCACTATTATCCACCTTCTACGGGTGGAGAAACCGAGGCAGGAACAATTTGCCCTAAGTCACACACCTTCAGTAAATGGCAGGGTAGGGATTTGAAGCCAGGCACTCAAAGGCCAGTGTAGAAAATAGAACTTTATGATTTTGAGCGTGTATTAGGTTAAGATCTTCTGCCGTCTTCATTTGGTGAGAGAAGATATAACTTCATGGTTAAGGGAAGGTTATTGTCAGAAAGTGCCAAGTTCAGATCCAAACTTCACCCGGCTTGCTGTGCAATCTAAAGCAAGCTTTTAAACCCTCTGTGACTTTTCTTCACCTGGGTTCTTTCTTTCTCTTTTTTAAATCAAAGATCATGCCTAAGGGACTGCTACAAAGTACTCAAATATGACTACTAGAGTGGTTTTCAATGGTGGCACCCCCTAGGGGACATTTTGGAAGTTGGACCCTTGGGTAAGGGGGGCCCACGTGCGCAGTGAAGAATTGTACCACCCAGCCTCCAAATGTTCCTTCCCAAAAAGGTCTCTACATTTGCGTCCTTGAAAAACCTGTTTACAGTAATCTTTACTTAGCACCCAACTATCTTGCTCATAAACACTAATTATTTTGGCTCCAGGAATGCAAGGACTGTAAAAGTCTGTCTACATTTTGTTTTGTTTGAAAATTGCAAGTGTTGTTCACCATTTTGGAAAACAACGGCATCAAAGTTAGGCTACTATGTCTGTGTGGCCAGTGCATTCCCCTGCATTAGTCAGTGTTTGTGGCTGTCAAATTCACCATGATGCTGACAAAGTCACCTGACAACTTCACCATGTCTCCTAACATAGCATACCCAAGCATTGACACATTAGCAAGCATAATTTATTGTTCTGTAAATTGCTTTCATTTATTCTTCCTGTGTAACAGTTATAAGATCATATTATGAGTTTTAAATTATCTGTGTAAGTCGGCTTGATTATATGCCTTTCATTTCAAATTAGGACAGGTGGTATTGTAAAATATTAGTTTTAAAAAGTGGGCATTGGGAAAAAAATCCATCTAAGTCTAATTAAACCTACAGATCTTATACCAAATATGAAGGAGAGAGGGACATACTACTTGTCACCATGAGAAAGCAAACAGGCAAATGCAGAAGAATGTAAGACATTGCTAAGGACAAATGACCCATTTTTTCCCTAATGGCATTAAACAAAAGGCAAAGATGGACTGTCATAGAATAAAAGAGACCTAAGAAACACAACCGAATGCTTTGAATGGATCTTTAGATTTCGAAGGAACAACTGTAAAAAAGACAATTTAGGGACAATGAGGAGATTTGAGTATGGACTGGCTATTTTTTGATATTAAGTAATTATTGCTGACTTGTTTGAAATGGTTGTGGGCATGAAGTTTATATATTTTTTAAGTCCTTGTCAATTAGAGGTGTAAACCAAAGTATTGATCTGTGAAGTGACATAAGTCTGGGATTGCCTTCAAATCATCTTGAAAAAAGTTATTTTCAAAGTGATAGTTGTTGGAGATGAGAGATGGGTGTTTGAGTGTTCTTTATACTATTTTCTCTACTTTTGTATATGTATGAAATTTTCCATAGTAAAAAGTTACCCCAAAATAAAGATGTTAAGTTCCCAGAGCCTGGCGCACAGTAGGTATTTAATAAATGTTCATTTTCTCCACTTACTTCAAGAACTCATAGCTTAGGGTAGCACTTTCAATAGTTTTCTGTGATGATGGCAATATTTTCTACCTGTTTTGTCCAAGGTGGCTGTTGAACACTAGAAATGTGGCTAGTGCAACCAAGGAACTGAATTTTTATTTTTAACTTAAAGTTCAATATCAATACTACTTAGGGCTGGTGGCTACTGCATTGAACTGTGCAGTTCCAATGACTTGGAATCAGCTGGTGAAATCTTGAAGGCAGAGGACGAAAGACACTTAGTAACCAGGAGGAAAGATAGAGGGATAAATATATATAAATAAGACTGTCAACTGGAGAGAGAAATGGCTGCTACTTTGTAAGACAGAGAGAAATGTGGCCGCTTTAACCTGAGGATTAAAACATGGGGATTAGGGATATAGATGCTTTTATGACAGGGATCAGATGGAACACAGATGAGTGAAAGATGATACTTTATAAGCAGGATGCAATTATTCTATCACCAAATCTTCTTTGGTCTTGCCCCTGGAGACAAAGCTAGGGACAAAACCAATGAGTACTATGCAGAAAAAATAAGGCAGGCTAAAAGGACCCAGAGTAGGAGAATATATTTGCTGGGTAGAGGATCAGAAAGGCATGTCCGAGGAGATGACAACTGAACAAAGACTCGAATGAAGTATGTGGATATTTTTCCCTCCCTCAAAAGCTCTCTACAACATAGATTGGTAGGTTTTTCTGTAAAAGACCAGATAGTTTGCTGACACTTACTATACAAAAAAACCCAAAACCCAAAAACCAAAAAACAGTATGGCTTCTTGTATATATTTCATTATAAGTGGTAGATTCTAACAAGAATCAGTGATAACAATCGTGAAAATAATATTATTTGTCAAGCCCTCATTATTTGTTTATTTACTTGTTTACTGATTGTTTTCCCCAGGGAACTGAGAGCTCCTGCCTGCTGTTATGGGCCCAGAGCCAGTGGAGAACATCTGTTGGATGAATGAAGAGGCCAATGAGGTAAGTACTATCATTGCCCCATTTCACAGATAAAGAAACTAAGGCTCACAGAGGTGAAGTGACTTATGCAAGGTCAGTCAGCAAATGGCAGAACTAGGATTTAAATCCAAGTCTCTGTGGCTCCCAAGGCAAGTAGTAATGGAATGATTCGTAGCTGGACACTCAAGATATCCTTACCTAATGGTGGAGTATCTTTGTAGTTAGGATTGGGGGGAAGGGAGAGATATGCCAGAAAACGCCAATATGTTAGACAAAGGGTTATTATCTCCATTTTATAGGTGGGGAAGCAGAGGCTCAGACAAGGTTAAGAACTTTGTCCAAGATCTGTAGCTCCCTGAGGGGAGCAGGCCCTTGGGGGAGGGAGCAAGCAGGAAAGGCCTGCTCAGGGGACTATCAGTTACCCAAACCTCTCACCTGCCCACTCCTGGAACTGCTCCTCTTCTTCCTGCTCTCGATAAGCCTCCTCCAGGAAATCCCCCAGCAGCTTCTCTGCCTCCAGTGCCTCGGCTCCCAGTGGGGCGGCCCAGCCCAGAAAAGTACGGACACTGCTTAGGTCTGAGTGGGCAGGCGGGTCCCAGAAGTCTTGAGGGTGGTCACGCAGCCAGGAGCCCAGCACAGACACCACAGCCCTATCCAGAGGGGCAGGGCCTCAGAGGCTGGGAGCTCTGCAGCCCCCACACCTCAGATCCAACCTTCCAAACTTTGATCTCTAGGACCCCCAACTGCTCCCAGATGGGAAACCAACCTCAGGTTCTTGTTGAAGCTCAGACTTTGTTCCTCTGTCTTCTTGATCTCTATCCTGGGAAGAGGCCCCACAATCAGGTGAAGAAAGAGAGCTGGGGGGCTTAGGGGAAGGATTCTGGGGTTGGGAGTTTTCCTTGTTCTAAGTCAGAGAGACAGCTTGGGTGAGAGTCTGGGGTGGGAACATGGAAGTTTACAGTTGGTACTGACCAGGGTGGCAGGGGCGGTGGCGGTGGTGGCAGGAGAAGGCCCAGCACTCGGGCAGTGGGCACAAAGGCCCGGTGCGTGGCCAGGAAAGTGGGCACAAAGCCCGGGTCCTGCTCGCGGTCTCCAGACACCAACTCCCACACCAGCCGCTCCAGATGCGCTGCCCTTAGTGCTCGAACCTTGCTTGTGCGGTAATGAAGGAAGGCGTCGGCATTTGGGCTGGGGGCCTGTGAGGAAGGGGGCTCAGATCTTGCGTCTGATCCCACCCATTCCTCTGAATCTGGCCCCCATGATTCATTATCCTGCTCCAGGTACAAAGGATCTGGACACGCTCAAGCTTCCAGGCCCTACTCTCTGTCCCGACTCATTTGTCCCCGCCCACCCCAGGTTTCTCTCAGCTCTCCAGCTGCGCTTCAGTGGCTATCCCGGTCCCTGCTCTCCGCCCCACCCGCCCTCACCTGGCTGCTTCTAAAGACCACCCCCTCCCCCTTCAGCTTCGCCCCATTAACTTGGATCGCCTAGGCCCTCCCGTCCAGTTTTGTGCCCAGGTCCAGCTCGGGAAGCTCGTCGGGAACTGACCCTGCCTCACTCATCTATCCCATAAACCTGGTCTCCCACTTTACCAGCCGCCTCTAAGCCCCGCCCTTCCCTCAGGCCCCACTCCGCCCTAGCCTCCTTACCTCCAGGCCCTTCCCCTCCACCCCGCCCTTACCTGCTCTCCAGCCTGCCACCCCACCCCGCCCTCCAACCCCCTCCTCACCTGCCTGTCCCCAGGCCCTTCCCCAGGGCTCAGACGCTGACTGCGCTGCCGCCGCAGAGAGACACTGTACACTGCGCCGTCCTCGGTCTCCTCGCCCCAGTCCTGCAGTGGCGCCTGGATGCGGAAGGAGGCTCAGGGCACCGTGGGCGGCCGGTTCCTGGGGTCTCGGCTCCCTTTCCCGTGCGGACCCACACCGGGTCTTCCCGGCTGAAGTCAGCCAAACTCGGGGTGGGGTCCAAGGCAAGGGAAGTCCCCTTGGCGCCGCGAGTACCCTCCCGGGTCCTGGAAGGATGGGGTGGCTTTTGGGGACGTCCAGGGTCCAGTCTCAGTCTGTCTCTGGCCCTTCCTGCAGACACGCTCAGAGACCACCACCGCCCCCTTCCCTAAGAAAAACCAGGAACTTCAATGGGTCAGAGGCCGGGAGGCCCGAGGTAGGGGCTCCTGGGCGAGTCTGAAGGGTTCAGAGAGTTAGGGTCCGAGCGGCGAGGACCTGGAATTTCTGAACCTGGGAGTCGCTAGGATGTGGGATCCCAGGACCCCCGTCCCCTTACCAGGGTGAGCTCCTTCCCTGCTGCCCGCTGCATGGCCCGCGCCCGTCTCCGCGGCTGGCTGAGTAAGGCGGAAGGGCCGGCGGTGGGGCAGTGGCGTGGTGGGGCGCTTGGGGCGG